ACCATTGCCCCATTGTCCCGACCATTGCCCCATGGTCTCGACCATTGCCCCCTTGTCCCGACCATTGCCCCATGGTCTCGACCATTGCCCCATTGTCCTGACCATTGCCCCATGGTCTCGACCATTGCCCCATGGTCTCAACCATTGCCCCATTGACCCAACCATTGCCCCATTGACCCAACCATTGCCCCATTGTCCCGACCATTGCCCCATGGTCTCAACCATTGCCCCATGGTCTCAACCATTGCCCCACTGTCCTGACTGTGCCCCGTTGTCCCGCAGTTGACCGCCCGCAGGACACCGAGATCGCCACCACGGTGGTGCCGCCGGCCTTCGCCGACATCTTCGTGGACAAGGTGGCCAAGCTGACGTGCCGCGTGCTCAACCTGCCCAACGCCGAGGGGCTGCTCATCTCCTGGCGCAAGGAGGCCGGCGCCGAGCTGGAGACCAAGGTCTCGCCGCGGGTGCTGCAGCCCAACGGGCTCTACAGCGTGGACGGCGTGGCCAGCGTGTGCGCCGACGAGTGGGACAAGGGCGACGCCTACGTGTGCCGCGTGAGCCACCCCGACCTGGTCTTCCCCGTGGAGGAGAGGCTGCAGAAGAAGAATGGTGAGTGGCGAGCATTTTTTTGGGGGGGAAATGGGGCGTTTTGGGGGTGGAACGCAAGAGTCGGTGTGGGCGCGGTGGGGTTTTGGGGGGAGAAATTGGGGTGGTGGCTGTTGAGCTCGAAGTGATGGGGGTTGTGCATGAGAGAGGCCACCAAAGTCACCAAAATTGGGGTTCCCACCGCAAAAAAACATCAGGAAACCCTAAATCCCCCAATTTTCCAGCAATGTTGGTTGTGCTCAAGAGACGCCACCAACCAAAGCCACCAAAATTGGGTTTCTCGTCATGAAAAAGACTTTGGGAAAGCCTAAATCCCCCAATTTTCAAACAACGCTGGTTGCGCTCAAGAGGCACCACCAAAGCCACCGAGATTGGGTTTCCCACCACAAAAAAACATCGGGAAACCCCAAATCCCCCCATTTTCTTGGTTGCGCTCCAGAGGCACCACCAAAGCCACCGAGATTGGGTTTCCCACCACAAAAAAACATCGGGAAACCCCAAATCCCCCAATTTTCTTGGTTGCGCTCCAGAGGCGCCACCAAACCGGGCTCTCTCATTGCCAAAAAACTATTGGGAAACCCCAGATCCCCCAACTTTCTTGGTTGCGCTCCAGAGGCACCACCAAAGCCACCGAGATTGGGTTTCCCATCCCTAAAAAACCATTGGGAAACCCCAGATCCCCCAATTTTCTTGGTTGCGCTCAAGAGGTACCACCAAAGCCACCGAGATTGGGTTTCCCAGCACAAAAAAAACATCGGGAAACCCCAAATCCCCCAACTTTCTTGGTTGCGCTCCAGAGGCGCCACCAAACCGGGCTCTCTCATTGCCAAAAAACCATCGGGAAACCCCAAATCCCCCAATTTTCTTGGTTGCACTGAAGAGGCACCACCAAAGCCACCGAGATTGGCTTTCCCATCCCCAAAAAACCATCGGGAAACCCCAAATCCCCCAATTTTCTTGGTTGCGCTCAAGAGGCACCACCAAAGCCACCGAGATTGGCTTTCCCATCCCCAGAAAACCATCGGGAAACCCCAAATCCCCCAACTTTCTTGGTTGCGCTCCAGAGGCACCACCAAAGCCACCGAGATTGGGTTTCCCATCCCTAAAAAAACATCGGGAAACCCCAAATCCCCCAATTTTCTTGGTTGCGCTCCAGAGGCACCACCAAAGCCACCGAGATTGGGTTTCCCACCACAAAAAACCATCGGGAAACCCCAAATCCCCCAACTTTCTTGGTTGCGCTCCAGAGGCGCCACCAAACCGGGCTCTCTCATTGCCAAAAACCACTGGAAAACCCCCCAAATCCCGATTTTCCCCCCGCAGACGCCCACGCCMAGGCGCCCTCCATCTACACGTTCCCGCCGCCGGCCGAGCAGCTCTCCCTGCGCGAGACGGCCACCGTGGGCTGCCTGGTGCAGGGCTTCAGCCCCCCGGACGTGCTGGTGCGCTGGCTCCGCAACGGGCTCCCGGCGCCGGCCGCCGCCGCCGTCACCACGCCGCCCGCCTTGGAAGGGCCCGCCGCCCGGCTCTACTTCTCCTACAGCGCCCTCAGCGTCCCCGCCGAGGACTGGGCGGCGGGCAACGTCTACACGTGCGTCGTGGGCCACGAGAAGCTGCCCTTGCAGGTGGCGCAGAAGTCGGTGGACAAGTCCTCGGGTAAACCCACCTCGGTCAACGTGTCGCTGGTGCTGTCGGACGCCGCCGCCGCCTGCTATTAGCCCCGCGGGCGTTAATTGCTTAATTCATTAATGAAGCCCCCTTCTTATGACCCGCACCCCCAGTTCCCCGTGCGGTTGTGCATACATCGATATATATATATATAAAAGAAATCACCCCAAAATGGCAAAGAATCCTGCCCGCGGTGTCGTGTCTGCAGCGCAAACCCCACCAAGGAAGGGGGGAAATGGCAATAAAAATAGTTTTCATTAGATGTAAAAATAGGTACATATATTTTTTATGGGGCGGGGGGGTCGTTGGTTTGGGGGGAGAAGSGGTGGGGGCTGCACCGCCCTCGTGCATGCATGCACAACCTCGTCGCATGCAYGGGCCTTTGCATGCRTGCRGCGCCCTCTTGCATGCATGCACACCTGCATGCATGCATCGTCTTCTTGCATGCGGCTTTGCACGCATGCATCGCCCTCGTGCATGCACCTCCGCATGCATGCATCGCCTTCTTGCATGCATGCACAGCCTCGTTGCATGCACGGGCCTTTGCATGCGTGCAGCGCCCTCTTGCATGCACGCATGCATCGTCTTCTTGCATGCATGCACAGCCTCGTTGCMTGCATGGGCCTTTGCATGCATGCAGCKCCCTCTTGCATGCACYTCTGCATGCATGCATCGCCCCCTGCATGCATGCACAGCCTCTTTGCATGCACCAACCTTTGCACACATGCACTGTCCTCTTGCATGCACTTTGTGCATGCATGCATCACCCCTTGCATGCACACACCTCTGCATGCATGCATCGCCCTCTTGCATGCACAGCCTCTTTGCATGCACACACCTCTGCATGCATGCACCACCCTCTTGCATGCACGGGGCTTTGCACGCATGCATCGCCCTTGTGCATGCACTTCTGCATGCGTGCAGCCGCTCTTTGCATGCACGCACGGCCTTTGCATGCATGCATCGCCTTCGTGCATGCAAGCGCATTCGCTTGCAGCTCGCGGGTGCTTTAAAGCATCGTTTTGCTCTTAAAAACATTTTAAAAAAAGGGAGTTGGGGTGACACAAACTGCAAAGGGCTCCGTTTTGGGGCAGAAAAAGGGGAAAATGGCCCCTAGGGGTGGAAGTCCCAGGGGAGGCTGCAAAAGGGAGTGGGAAAAAGGAGCAAAAGGAGAGAAAAGGGGGGGAAAGGGAGAAAAGAAAAGAAAAGGAGAAAAGGGAGGGGAAAAAAGAGAAAAAGGAGGGGAAAAGGAGGAAAAAGAAGGAAAAAAAGGAGGAAAAAAGGAGGGAAAAAAGGAGGGAAAAGGGAGGAAAAATGAGGAAAAAAAGGAGACAAAAGGAGGAAAAAAAGGAGGAAAAAAGGAGGAGAAAAAAGGAGGAAAAAAAAAGGAGGAAAAAAAAAAGGAGAAAAAAGGAGATCCTTGAATGTGTTTTTTAGGGAAAGATCCATATTTAAGTGCAGGGCTCTCGTTTCTGCAGGAGCCTGTTTGGAAATGGGGAATTTTGGGGAAAAAAGCATCTTCCAAGGGGGATTTTGCAGCCAAAAAGCAGCATTTTTGTCCCCTCAGAGCCCGTTGCAGGCTGCAGCATTGCCCCAGACCCCCAAAAATGGGAAAAAATGGGGGAAAAACCTAGAAAGAGCAAAAAAGCAGCAAATGTGGGGGATCCAGGGGGGAATCCTTGGAAAGGCAGGAGSAAAATCACGCAAAATGCCCCAAATTGTGTTTTTTTCCCTCAAATTCTTGTAGCTTCCCCCATTGCAGGACCCCAAAACTCCCGCAACGCTCTGGGGTCCTGACGCTCGGAGCCAAACTGGGAATTTTAAGTCAATTTATTGTGTGATTTTCATTGCTTTGTGACTAAAAGTGGTTTTGGGGCAAAAATCAACAGAAAGGGGGCTTTTTGGGGAGCATCCGTGTCAGAAACAGGGGGTTTGGGGGCTGATCGATCCCTTTGCATTCCCATATCGGAGCTCACGGCAGAGGGAAAAACACRGGGCCAAGAAATTGGGGGGAATTTGGCAAATTCGGGCGGATTTTGCAGGATTTGGGGGCGGATTTTGCAGATTTTGCAAATTCCGCCAAGGAATTGGGCCAATTCCTGCTGGTTTTGGGGATAATCTACCAGGGAGGCAGGTTGGGTCGCGCCAGGTTGCTGAGCCTTGGCCAAAACACGAAGCTTTGGCAAAAACTTGATTTTTTGGCCAAAAAACCCCGCTCTTCCCGCCTTAACACCCGCAAAAACACCCCAAAATTCCCAACGGGGACCGATACACCAGGGAAAAAYGTATAATATTTGCAAAGCAGCCCCAAACTGGGCCTTTTTTTGGGGTGTTTTCACGCCGCGTCGCGTCCTCCTCCTTGCAGCTTTGGGAGCCCGCGGGTCCCAAATTGCGGGCGCCAAATTCGCCCGAAAAACGCCCGATTTGGGCAAAATTCGAGCCGCTTTTTGCCAAAATGCCGCTTTTTCGCCCCATTTCCCTSCCCGCCGCGCCCAAGGGGCTCACTGGTTCTTGGCCTCATCCCAAGGCTTCCCAGACGTTTTTGGGGAGGACGAGGAGGATCTGCACAGCCTCTGGACCACGGCCTCCACCTTCATCGTCCTCTTCATCCTCAGCCTCTTCTACAGCGCCACCGTCACCTTGATCAAGGTAAGGGCCGCCAAAAGGCGCCAAAAACCCCCCTTTTCTCCCCAAATCCCGCCCCGCTGCAATGCAAAGCGATCTCCTCAAGGGGCGGTAAAAAATACACCTTTTCCCGCCTCTCAGCCCCAAATTCCCTCTTTTCCCACCCATTTCTCCTCCATAGAGATCTTCCCGTTGCACTCGGGCTAAACCCCACAGCGCACGCAAAAATATACCCCAAAATAAGCTGAAATCGGGGGGTTTCACCTTATTTTAACGATTGCTTCTTGTTTTTTTCCCAATTCCAGGTGAAATAAGCCCGTTTTCCAGGCGGGCCCTGCGGATCYGGGCGGATTTGGGGGCAAATCTCGCCGGTGCCCGCGGGAATTTACCCATTTCCTGCCTTTTTCTGCTGTAAATAATGGGGAAATAAAGGATTTCTGGTGGTTCCCGGGTGTCTCCTGTGTCCGCGTGCGGTGGTGGCGGGGCGGGATGCGCTGGGAATGGAGCCATGGGCTTGGGAATGCCGTAATGGAGTTGGGAATGCCATGGTGAGCTTGGGAATGCTGTAGGGAGCTTGGGAATGCCGTAATGGAGTTGGGAATGCCGTAATGGAGTTGGGAATGCCATGGTGAGCTTGGGAATGCTGTAGGGAGCTTGGGAATGCCATAGGGAGCTTGGGAATGCCATAATGGACTTGGGAATGCCATGGTGAGCATGGGAATGCCGTAATGGAGTTGGGAATGCCATGGTGAGCTTGGGAATGCCGTAATGGACTTGGGAATGCCATGGTGAGCATGGGAATGCCGTAGGGAGCTTGGGAATGCTATAATGAGCTTGGGAATGCCATGGTGAGCATGGGAATGCCATGAAGAGCTCGGGAATGCCATAACGGAATGGGGAATGCCAAGATGAGTTTGGGAATGCCATGGRGGGCTTCGGAAGACTGTGGTGAGCTCAGGAAYGCCATAGGGAGCTTGGGAATGCCATAGCGACCTTGGGAATGCCATGATGAGTTTGGGAATGCCATAAGGAGCTTGGGAATGCCATGACGAGATTGGGAAAATTGTGGCGAGCTCGGGAATGCCATAGGAAGCTTGGGATTGCCATAATGGACTTGGGAATGCCGTAGGGAGCTTGGGAATGCCGTAGGGAGTTTGGGAATGCCATGATTGTGCTTGGGAATGCCAAGATGAGTTTGGGAATGCCATAATGGAATGGGGAATGCCACAATGAGTTTGGGAATGCCATGGAGAGCTTGGGAATGTCATCGTGAGCTTGGCAATGCCRTAGCAAGCTTGGGAATGCCATGATGTGTTTGGGAATGCTGTGATGAACTTGGGAATGCCATAATGAGCTTGGGAATGCCGTGGAGAGCTCGGGAATGCCATAATGAACTTGGGAATACCATATCAAGCTTGGGAATGCCATAGTGAGCTTGGGAACACTCTGGTGAACTTGGGAATGCCATGATGAGCTTGGGAATGCTATAAGGAGCTTGGGAATGCCGTAATGGACTTGGGAATGCCATGATGAGCTTGGGAATGCCATGATGAGCTTGGGAATACCATGACATGTTTGGGAATGTCATCGTGAGCTTGGGAATGCCACGATAGGCTTAGGAATGCCCTGACAAGCTTGGGAATGCCCTAATGGAATGGGGAATGCCGTAATGGCCTTGGAAATGCCATGATGGGCTTGGGAATGCCGTGGTGAGCTTGGGAACACTGCCATGATCTCGGGAATGCCATAGGAAGCTTGGGAATGCTGTAAAGAGCTTGGGAATGCCATGGCGACCTTGGGAATGCCCTCATGTGCTTGGGAATGCC